TTATCCTGTATCCTTCCCCACTGGTTTTATGCATACCCTGTTATTTTTCCGGGTCTTTTAATCAAAGACTTCACACACATACGCACATCCATCAAGCACGTATGTCGATACAGTGGCATATCCCTTGAGTATGTTGTGCAGTTTATTATTTCACAGCACCTTAGGGCATGCCAGAAACTCTCCACCAGAATACTACTTGACCCATCTCACCCACTGTACCCTCATCTTAGACAGTGTATCTCCACATCTAGCACTCGTTCCATGTATAAACATATAGTAGCACGCACCACTACATACAAGTCTTCTAATACCGTACCTAGCACGGTTTCTTACCAACGCTGATCTTGTCATTGGGACTCTTAGACTAAATCTTTGCTAAATTGGATTGTTGTATATGTAACTTATTATTATACGTTTTGTTACCATGTAATTTCCAAAGAAGAGTGATTGTGTAGTAGCTGAATGTTCATCCCCTATAGGGAGAATTAAAGCCGCTTCTTGACGTGACTTGAAAAAAATTGCAGAGGATAAAGAAGAAAAATGTTTGTCTGTCACACACTTCTGAGTCTTTGGATTGAATTTAACGACAAGTTTTGGTACTGTGACACAGACTTGTCACATGAAGCATAACGAAAGCGATATTCAAATCTGGAATGACGTTTGCCACAGGATGCACGATTGTCATAGGATTTATCGAATATGCCACATTGTGTGAGCTAGACTGTGTAACTGGATTGAGCTGTCCGGTTGTGGCACGAACGTTCGTGGATTTAGTTTTGAGTCAATTGAACATAGCTGTAGATTCGATGGTCGACGGCGTGGATGAAGTAGCGGCTCAAATGTCCTGATATTGTTCACAATGGGCCCGCACATCTTTGAACGTCCAACTGGATAACTTTCAGAGTTCATTTTACAAAACAGTATTGTTAATGCCAGCGATCAGCCGGTCTCTCAACTGCATGTCCAGTAAGTATCCGAAATCACACTTTACAGCTTGAGTGAGCAAATCCAAGATTGCGTACCATGGAATGAAATTTCGCTCACTCTCTGACGCTTCAAAGTTCGTCAGCTTCACATTCTGTAGGATGAGGGATTTTATATCCTCATATGTTACAGAAACCAGTGGGGAGTGGTAAGCCAAGCTTTTGATTAGTGTATAAGCATTTTTACCGGCAGCATTCAAAAAGAAAGCGGATTTCTTTTTATCATCGGGTTTCGAACGAGTCAAGCACCAAATTTCAAAACGTTCAAAATAATCCTCGATATCGCGTGCACTATATTTGAGATCTAGGGATTGTAACGGAGTGGAATTCATTGTTCAGTAGAGCGTTCACGACACCAAATGCAGCATTGTGAATGGTATTCGAAATGGAGCTCCAGAATTCGCGCAACACCAATCCCCGAAATAGAACAACTTCGATTTGAATAGCACACGAACTCTGTTCGAATCGTATACCATGCATATTAAATGCATCTGAAGTTTACAAGGATTTTGTCGAGATCAGTGTCATACGCCACAGTAACATTTTTTATTTTTATCTCTATTTTTACTTCTTTTTTTATTGAATTCACAATGATACAGTTGTCCGGAGAAGGGAAGCGGCCAATCAAAGGGCTTCCATGCAATAAACAAATGGGGAAAGTCAGGCAGTGGTGGTCGTGGGATTCGAACACACGTCCTACGGGGTGCTAATTTGATAACCTTACCACCGGGGCATCACCGTTCTGAAATAGTGTACCCTAAGGTGTATGTTAACGGACAACGTGAGCAGCGGACGTCCTGGTTGGTTTGGGTTCTGCAATATTCGGTGCGCCCAAATCAAGTCCCATCGAAAGCGGCAGAATATAATCCCCATCGTTGTAACCTCTCCTCATAAGTGAAACAGAGCAATCCATTGACGATCGTGGTGCAATCCTTTATGGACAATCCAGCACCTTACGATCACCTGGTAACCATGAGGTCTAGGCTTGGATGTCATACTCTGCGTACGGTCGAATGTATACTGATGGTAAATTTGAAATCAATACTGATTCAAGTAGACCAAATACGTGCCCAAGAAGGCCGACATTCTTCACATTAGCGGACGAAGCCCTGGTGCTATTGATCGATCAGCTTAATTCCTCTTGAACAATTATTCTCAAATCCTTCTCACTTGAGACATGTGACAAATGTTGATTTTCGAGGAAATACGGAAATCTACTCCTAAGGCGTAGGTATAGGGAGTCCTGAGGGTTTTGTTACTGTATTCCAGTTTCTGGTTCCCTCTGAAAAATGTATGGTTTAGGACCGTAGTACATTTAGTCGATCATTTTGGAATACGAGGACACGTCAGAGTCCAAGTACAGATCCTTGAGGAAACACCGAGGGTAACATCGAAACAATCAAAAAGATAATCGTAAACACGAACCGATGTGGTTCGTTGTCGAACAAATGCTCCAATCCAAACAAGTAAGAAAACTCGATCGCCAAAATAGCGAAACTTCTGCAACAGCTTTTGGTGGTTTAGCCGATCAAATGCTGTCGAGAAGTCCTTAAAAATCATATTCCCTGCAGTCCTTTCGTCGACTAGTCTGGTCGATTTATCTCAAACAAGAAGCAAGTTGGTGGAACAGGATTGTTTTTACCCGAACCCATATTTCGCTCTCTAAGGAACGCCGTATCTCTCTGATTTCTTTCCATCAGGGAATCTACCACAATTGAATCCATGAACTTCCACTGAAAGGAGGATTTCTGGTCGATGGCTTTGTACATGGGTGAAATAACTCCTTGTTTCCACGATTTCCCCGAGTGCTTTTTGGTAGAATATTCGTTGGCGTTGAATGGCTAGTGGTTAGGATATGTGATTTGTGAACCAGATAAGGGGTTTCGAGCGTACACTGTCCGCACCTGGGGTTTTATTTTTCGAAAAGCCACTAGTTTCGCTTCGATGTTTTCAGCTGTAAAGATATCGTTGGTCAGAAAAGGATATTGAAGATGATTTTGGTAGTCCTAGACTGCGGGATGATGCAAACCAAGGGACGATACGTTACAGTTTCTGGACAACTGTGATGAGTCGAGCTTCCCAGATGACGCCAGCAAAGCGCCACGCGTTACAGCTTCTAGACAACAAACCACAGACCAGTCGTGCCGACCAATCAGAAACCGTGCTGTACGACGTCAAGAATACAGGCACATGACTGGAAGGTACCTGGTTAACCAATAAACTTCTTTTTTTATATGTTGTTTAGTTTCCTTGATTTCTTTCAATACACGAACTGCTACTTTCGTACCCTTTTCCTTGCGTCTTGGTTACGTGGGATACCAACGTGCGAGTGCTATTGCGATTCAGTGTTTCCGTGGCGCCCGTAATTTTCAATTCGTGATTCGTAGTTCGTGATCTGTGCTTACTTCGAGCAATTATGCAACCGGTGAGGAAACTGTAGACCTTCTACATGTATAGTAGTAAAGAGTTTGAAATACTGAACTCTTAGTAATTCAGCTGCTTCCGTGGTAGTGGCTGCAACTCTTCCATCGCAGCCTGGAGCCAGTATATCAAATTTAACTTTACGAATTCAGTTAACGTGCTTATACAACTGTTTAGGGTTAGAGATGAACCTCGATTCTAACACCCCTTGGTACATCAGTCTATCATCAAGTGTCAGCCTGATGCAGTGGTTTTACGAGGGTTCCACGATATGGGGTCTTTATCTACGTGTAATTTGCTGTGCAATAGCAAAGAACGTCAGTGTCATGG